TCCAATGTTTATGAAATGTGGTGGAAATGTGTAGAATGGACGAACAAAGAAACCATACTCATTTGGCCTGGATCTGAATAACGGTGTTGGAAAACGACCCATTTTAGTTGGGAGACGTCAATCGTTTTTCATTGCGATGTATAGCGCTGACTTGGCAGAACTCCAGTTCTTACAGGACTTGTTTTTATTTTCTTCTACCTGGTATGTTGTGATGTTTTATGTGAATTGTTGTGTACCTAAACACCGAGGCACGCTCCTTGTGTGGAGCGATCATCCAGATCAGAGAGCTCTTTATTTGAGGAGCTCTGAGGTGAAGACATCACGGTTTATCTTCAAAGACGTTTCACTTGTTTTCCACAGAGACGGACACATGTTTTAAATCACGTCTCTTTGACTTTCTTTGAGTGGTTCTTAATCTTCACGCTGAATCTGACGGCCTCCCAGCATGCAACACAAACAGATCGTGACCTCGGCCCGAGAGATAAAGAAAAAAAGAGTTTGTTGTTTGTGAGATTTTTTCAGATGGTCGAGACAAAACGCAGCCATTTAAACATTTAGACGCTCCATTAGAGAGAGGGGGTGACACACACACACACACACACACACACACACACACGCACACACACAGCAACACACATACACACACACACACACGCACGCACACACACACACACACACGCACGCACACACACACACAGCAACACACACACACCCCCACACACACGCACACACACAGCAACACACCACACACACACACACACACACACACACACACACACACACACACACACACACACACACAGTCGTACTTTGACTTAAAATAATGATAATACACTACGGTCTGATGCGACAAATACCTTTCTTTAAAAGCAATTGAAATGTAAAGGAATGGTGAAATGATGCCGGTAACTCACCACGTTCTTCAGGTGACATCGCCAGAGTGGACTCCAATACCCAGAATGCATCAGGCTTGGCAGGGATACACTTTAATGTGGGAGTCTTTTCTCAAAATATCACAGAATCTTTGAGGATATAACCCCTCCTTCTCGGTCACAATGCAGCGTGTTGTTCTGAGTGTAAAAACCTTCATACTAACACCATGCAACGGACTTTTTCTAAAAGATAAAAGCACGACAGACATTTCAAAAGTCTTGTTTTAAAGAAACCAATGATTTAAGTGTATTAATCGTCCACCTTCACTTCCTCTCGTCAGCTCCTCCCCCTCTGATAAAAGACAACGCTCGGTTTAAGTGCACGACATCCAACATGAGACGCTTTATTTCACTTCTTCAAACACATCCATTCATGTTGCAAAATGCACGAAGAAGACACGGGAGACGTTTTAAACGCAGTCCATAAAAAACAACAAAAAAACAACATGTGGTCCTTTTCCTGAAATAAATAAAGTCTGAGTGGATTCATAAAAACACATATACAGATAGTGTCTCAGTCTGTGTGGGGACAAAATAAATAGATGCACAAATATTACAAACAGTTTCTGAGCCGTTTGGAAACACCTGAACAGGAAACAGGAAGTGCTTAACATTTCAGAACAAAAGCATCAGCAGAGTCCAAACTTCACCTCACAGATAAAAGTTTAAAATATTAAACGCCACGACGTCCCTGGAGATCTGTTTCATTTCTTTGTGCAACATATTTAATACCAAAGGTGCAGGATACACAAAAGCATAAATAAAAAAGATTACAAAAACTAAAAATCCACATTCTGTTGTTGTTGTTGTTGTTGTTGTTGTTGTTGTTGTTGTTGTAACCCCTTCTGTCTCAATTGAAGACAAATGTTCAGATAAAAAATATATGATATGTCATTTTTTATTTTTGTGATTGGTCAACTGCTTAGAGATGTCCCGCCCCCTTAGCCTATCACGTACCATATGTTGGAGCGCTAGCCAATAGGAGCGCAGTGCCGTCACAATCACAACAATGCCCAAAATGAATGATAAAAGTGTCCGTAGCACAAGGGTTCATTCTGGTTCAAAAAAAGTGAATAAATGTGATTTTATCCTAATTTAAATCCCATAAAGAGGCGTCTGCAGGACTAATGCTGTAGTGTGGGTTTCATTCAAGTGAATATATGTAAATGAATACTTCCTAACTTTTATTTGACAGTCTTTCGGACGGAGCTGCCTCGGGTAATGCCCGCTGCGTCAGAAAACATTAGCTTTTATTCCGTGATGTGCAAACAGTAAAACTCTTCAAAAGACTTGTGCATACGTGTTGCTGCCACACGAGGAAACAGAAACTGAAGCGACCCCCCCCTGACCTCTGACCCCCCCCCCCCCCTGACCTCTGACCCCTCCCCCCCCATGCAGAACTAGCCGAGGCACAAACCGGACGATAAACAACAAATACAAAATACTTTTTCATGCCCACAAAATACTCGTTAACAGCGGAGGAAATACAAAAATACTTTAAGGTTTGGAGCGTCTGTCACTGAGGCGGGACTCCATTTATATTTATCACTTCTTTAAATATCGGACCCCCGGGCACAGAGGGGTACAAGCCCCCCCAACCCCACCATGTTTGTAGTCAATCTGTAGTCTTTTGTAGTCAATTTGTAGTCAGTTTGTCCTTTGCATCTCTTTCTGGTGTCTTAGCGTCTCTTAGAAGTCGTTCTTAGTGTCTCTTAGAAGTCGTTCTTAGCGTCTCTTAGAAGTCGTTCTTAGTGTCTCTTAGAAGTCGTTCTTAGCGTCTCTTAGAAGTCGTTCTTAGTGTCTCTTAGAAGTCGTTCTTAGTGTCTCTTGGAAGTCGTTCTTAGCGTCTCTTGGAAGTCGTTCTTAGCGTCTCTTAGAAGTCGTTCTTAGCGCGTTCTTAGTGTCTCTTAGAAGTCGTTCTTAGTGTCTCTTGGAAGTCGTTCTTAGTGTCTCTTGGAAGTCGTTCTTAGTGTCTCTTGGAAGTCGTTCTTAGCGTCTCTTAGAAGTCGTTCTTAGCGTCTCTTAGAAGTCGTTCTTAGTGTCTCTTAGAAGTCGTTCTTAGCGTCTCTTAGAAGTCGTTCTTAGTGTCTCTTAGAAGTCGTTCTTAGCGTCTCTTAGAAGTCGTTCTTAGCGTCTCTTAGAAGTCGTTCTTAGCGTCTCTTAGAAGTCGTTCTTAGCGTCTCTTAGAAGTCGTTCTTAGCGTCTCTTAGAAGTCGTTCTTAGCGTCTCTTAGAAGTCGTTCTTAGTGTCCTTGTAGTCTCTGTGTCTCCTTCTGTTATTTTGAGGCTCTTTATAGTGTTGTTGTTGTTGTTGTTGTTGTTTTGAGTCTTTTTCTGGTCTCTTTTAGTGTCTGCTCTGGTGTTGAATCCTTTCCTAGTGGCTTTAGTCCTTGTGTTTGTATGAAGTCTCTCTGTAGTGGTTTTAGTTCCTCCTGTGTTGAGTCTCTCTGTAGTGGTTTTAGTTCCTCCTGTGTTGAGTCTCTCTGTAGTGGTTTTGAGTGGCGGTCTAATTGATTGCATGTGTTTCTGGTTATTTCTGAGTGTTTTTGTGATCATATTTAGCCTCTGCGCCGTCGTTTGATTGACTTCCCAACAGGAAATATGAAACCATAGCTCCAGGGGCCCGTTCAATAACCCCTCCATTAAAACCACATTTAAACAGATCGCAGAAATCAAACACTGAGACGCACACAGACTGCACATTCACTTCAAGTAGAGTCCATGCCACAGATCCAGAGTGAGATATTTAAATAAAGAAGGAAACATTTTAACGGCATCTTAACGTGTTCGGTAAATCCACCTTCAGTGTTTGGTCCGTGTGCAAAGTGTCCGTCAGAAGGAGCTGGGTTCTCGTTGCATTGATTATTCTGTAACAGTCGAAGCCGTGGGTCTCTGAGTCGGAGAGTTGAACCAGCAACTTTATTCAGTTTACAATCTGCGGAGAGCTGAGGCGGGGGGGGGGGGGGGGGTGGATGGGGCCTGTGAAATAGAGAAAGAAACACAAAGAGAGGTTTAACTGGTGTTTCAATGGCAGGCAGCGACACAACATGTAATCATATAATAACGTCTCTGCATCTAAATTTGTAATAACGAATTTCACATTTTTCTCAGAATTATATTTCTTCAACATTTTTTTACTTCTTCTCCAAATTTTTCTTTTTCACAATTTCATTTTTTCTCAAAATTTTACACTTTTTCTCATAATTTTACACTTTTTTCTCAAAATTTCACTTTTTTCTCATAATTTTACACTTTTCTCAAAATTTCACTTTTTTCTCATAAATTCACTTTTTTCTCAAAATTTCACTTTTTTCTCATAAATTCACTTTTTTCTCAAAATTTCACTTTTTTCTCATAAATTCACTTTTTTCTCAAAATTTTACACTTTTTTCTCAAATGTCTATTTTCCTTATATTTAGCTTTTTTCTCATAATTTCGTATTTTTTCTCATAATTTCACTTTAAAAAAAAAAATCCCTTTATTTCTAAAGAATTGAATTTTTTTTCTCATAATTTCATTTTCTTTACATAATCTCACTTTTTTATCACAATCTTTCTTTATTTCTCATAATTTCCCTTTCCCCTCAGAACCTGGAGGTGCGTTCAGGCTCCCCAACAGAAACCCGTCCTCCCAGCTTCTCTCCTGTAACTCACCGGCCTCACAGCGAGCTGCTCAGAATCTCCGACACCTGAGCGTTCGTCTGCTCGTCAGAATCCACTTCCTGTGTGCCTCCCTCCTCCTCCTCCCCCCCCCTCCACCACCACAGACACCCCCGCTGCCTCCCCCCTCTCCCCCCCTACAAAGATGCGTCTAACATGGGGCCTTCCTCCCCCCTCTCCTCCCCCCCGCTGCCTCCCCCTCCGGCTCTCCAGAACGCAGGAGGCGTGGCTAACAAAGGTGGGGGAGTCGATGGGGGGGGGGAGGTCCGTCTGCTGGGTGTACACCCCCTCGGAGAGAGAGAGAGACCCCCCCTCTCCCCCCTCCTCCCCCCGGAGCCACCGAGGGGTGAAGTACGCTCCTCCCCCCCCCCCGCTGACTGCGAGAGAGGAGCTTTCGTTTGGAGGGGGGGTTACAGAGAGGCCTCAGGGGGGGAGAGAGGGGGGAGAGGGAGAGGTCCTCCAGGGGCAGGAGAGGGGAGAGAGGCCTCAGGTTGGGAGACAGGGGGGAGAGGGAGAGGTCCTCCAGGGGCAGGAGGGGGGAGAGAGGGAAGTCTTTGGATGGAGAGGGGGAGAGAGGGAAGAAGGTGGAGGAGAGGGGGAGGTCTGAGGGGGGGCAGACGCTGTACCTGAGGGGGAGAAAAGGGAGGTTTCAAACATGGTTTTTGGATAGGTGGAGCGGCACGAGGACACACATCACGTCCGCCACTTGCCTGCACCTCCGCACTTCATCACGGCAGCATCGGCCGCACGTGCCGCACCGCCGCACCGGCCGCAAGGCCTGCACGGCAGCACCGCTCGCACGGCATCACTGCCGCACCGCCGCACAGACACCCCGCACCGCCGGCACCGGCCTCACTTCATCACTTCCTCACCTCCTCACCTCATCACCTCCTCACCTCATCACCTCCTCACTTCCTCACTTCATCACTTCATCACCCTCCTCACCTCATCACTTCATCACTTCCTCACTTCCTCACCTCCTCACCTCCTCACTTCCTCACTTCATCACCTCCTCACCTCCTCACTTCATCACTTCCTCACTTCATCACTTCCTCACCTCCTCACTTCATCACTTCCTCACTTCATCACCTCCTCACCTCATCACTTCCTCACTTCATCACTTCATCACCTCCTCACTTCATCACTTCATCACTTCCTCACTTCCTCACCTCATCACCTCCTCACTTCATCACTTCATCACTTCATCACCTCATCACCTCCTCACTTCCTCACTTCATCACCTCCTCACTTCCTCACTTCATCACTTCATCACCTCCTCACTTCCTCACCTCCTCACCTCATCACCTCCTCACTTCCTCACTTCATCACTTCATCACCTCCTCACCTCCTCACTTCCTCACTTCATCACCTCCTCACTTCATCACTTCCTCACTTCCTCACCTCCTCACCTCCTCACTTCATCACTTCATCACTTCATCACCTCCTCACTTCCTCACTTCATCACCTCCTCACTTCATCACTTCCTCACTTCCTCACCTCCTCACCTCATCACCTCCTCACTTCCTCACTTCATCACCTCCTCACTTCCTCACTTCATCACCTCCTCACTTCATCACTTCATCACTTCCTCACTTCCTCACCTCCTCACCTCATCACCTCCTCACTTCATCACTTCATCACCTCCTCACTTCCTCACTTCATCACTTCATCACCTCCTCACTTCATCACTTCATCACTTCCTCACTTCCTCACCTCCTCACCTCATCACCTCCTCACTTCATCACTTCATCACTTCATCACCTCCTCACTTCCTCACTTCATCACTTCATCACCTCCTCACTTCATCACTTCATCACTTCCTCACTTCCTCACCTCCTCACCTCATCACCTCCTCACTTCATCACTTCATCACTTCATCACTTCATCACCTCCTCACTTCATCACTTCATCACTTCCTCACTTCCTCACCTCATCACCTCATCACCTCCTCACTTCCTCACTTCATCACCTCATCACCTCTTCACCTCCTCACTTTAATGGTGCTGTATTATTATTATTTCAAATGTCCCGAATTGGGATCAAGTACTTCTTATCTTATCTTAATAAACAAAGTGATGACTAAGTGTTACCTGAGCTCGTGGGTCTGCAGCACGTCGGGGGCGCTGCCGCCCAGCGAGTGCAGTGCCTGCTGGGAGAGGTGTTGGGGGGGGGGAGTAGAGCAGGTCCAGGTCTCGGGGGCTCAGAGCGTCGCTGGAGTCGTAGTCGCTGTCTGTGGGGAGGAAGACCTCCGAGGACCCGTCCTCATCGGAGCCCAGCAGGGAGTCTGAGGGCAGCAGAGGATCCGTTTTAGATTTAAGTTTTTTAAATGTTCTTTCACAATTTGGATATTTTTTTTCTGAATTTGTACCTTTTTCTAATGATTCAATTTTTTCTCTCAAAAAGAATCAAGTTTTTTCAACAAAATAATTTGCGTTTTCTCAAAATGTGAAGTTAAAAAAAAAAAAAAAATCACGTTTTTTCTAAAGAAAACACGTTTTCTCAAAATGTCATGTTTTTCTCAAAATGTCATGTTTTTCTCAAAATGTCTAATTCTTCTATAAAAAAAAATAAAATGTCACTGTTTTTTCTTAATTGTTTTAAAAAAAAAAATGTCCACAACAAATTTCACTTTTTTCTCAAATGTGTCCTTCAGAGGTCAATAAAGACATTGAATCTCAACATGTCTCCTCACCGCTGGGGGGCTTCCTGCGGCGGGGCTCTGGCGAGGGGGAGGGGGTCGGCAGGAAGTCGTTGTTGGAGGAGGTGGAGTCGGTCTTCTGCTCGCTGTCGGGGGGGGCGTCTGCGTTAACGAGCGCTGAGACGGGAACGCCGCCGCGGGGCTGCCGGTAACGAGCGAACTGAAGAGCGTCCGTTATCCAGCGCAGGTCCCGACGCACCTCGTCCAGCTGCTGCAGGGTTAAACAACATTTCACTGTTTGGTTCAATTTACTTTGGGTATTTCATTTCTTAGTATTTTCATTCTTGGTATTTTATTACAGAGTCTGTGTGTGCTGTATAGTGTGTGTGTGCTGTATAGTGTGTGTGTGCTGTACAGTGTGTGTGTTACAGTGTGTGTGTCCCTCACCTGGATGTAGTCCAGGATCAGCTGGTGTCTCTGTTTGGCGGAGGACACCTCGCTGTCGCTGATGGCCTCCCGCAGTGCCTGCTGGGTAATCAGAGCGTCCAGGTCCAGCACGGAGGACAGGCGGCAGTACAGACCGATGAACTTCTCCTTGTACGTGCAGAAGTGGACTGATGGAGGGAAAACACAGAGAGAATATACAATAAATACAAATATACATCGTGCAATATACCGGTGCAATCTGGAACATATTCAGCAAAACTGGGACTTTTTTAGGTGGAATCTGGTCTAAAGTGACAGGAATCTGGTCTAAAGTGACAGGAATCTGGTCTAAAGAGACAGGAATCTGGTCTAAAGTGACAGGAATCTGGTCTAAAGAGACAGGAATCTGGTCTAAAGGGACAGGAATCTGGTCCAAAGGGACAGGAATCTGGTCTAAAGGGACAGGAATCTGGTCTAAAGTGACAGGAATCTGGTCCAAAGGGACAGGAATCTGGTCTAAAGAGACAGGAATCTGGTCAAAAGTGACAGGAATCTGGTCTAAAGAGACCGGAATCTGGTCTAAAGGGACAGGAATCTGGTCTAAAGTGACAGGAATCTGGTCTAAAGGGACAGGAATCTGGTCTAAAGGGACAGGAATCTGGTCTAAAGTGACAGGAATCTGGTCTAAAGGGACAGGAATCTGGTCTAAAGGGACAGGAATCAGGAATCTGGTCTAAAGAGACAGGAATCAGGAATCTGGTCTAAAGGGACAGGAATCTGGAATCTGGTCTAAAGGGACAGGAATCTGGAATCTGGTCTAAAGGGACAGGAATCTGGAATCTGGTCTAAAGGGACAGGAATCTGGAATCTGGTCTAAAGGGACAGGAATCAGGAATCTGGTCTAAAGGGACAGGAATCTGGAATCTGGTCTAAAGGGACAGGAATCTGGAATCTGGTCTAAAGGGACAGGAATCTGGTCTAAAGGGACAGGAATCAGGAATCTGGTCTAAAGGGACAGGAATCAGGAATCTGGTCAAAAGGGACAGGAATCTGGAATCTGGTCTAAAGAGACAGGAATCTGGTCTAAAGGGACAGGAATCTGGTCTAAAGGGACAGGAATCTGGTCTAAAGGGACAGGAATCTGGAATCTGGTCAAAAGGGACAGGAATCTGGTCTAAAGGGACAGGAATCTGGTCTAAAGGGACAGGAATCTGGTCAAAAGGGACAGGAATCAGGAATCTGGTCTAAAGGGACAGGAATCAGGAATCTGGTCTAAAGGGACAGGAATCTGGAATCTGGTCTAAAGGGACAGGAATCTGGTCTAAAGGGACAGGAATCTGGTCAAAAGGGACAGGAATCTGGAATCTGGTCTAAAGGGACAGGAATCAGGAATCTGGTCTAAAGGGACAGGAATCTGGTCTAAAGGGACAGGAATCAGGAATCTGGTCTAAAGTGACAGGAATCTGGTCTAAAGAGACAGGAATCTGGTCTAAAGAGACAGGAATCTGGTCTAAAGTGACAGGAATCTGGTCTAAAGAGACAGGAATCTGGTCTAAAGGGACAGGAATCTGGAATCTGGTCTAAAGGGATAGCAATCTGGAATCTGGTCAAAAGGGACAGGAATCTGGTCTAAAGGGACAGGAATCAGGAATCTGGTCTAAAGGGACTGGAATCTGGTCTAAAGGGACAGGAATCTGGTCAAAAGGGACAGGAATCAGGAATCTGGTCTAAAGGGACAGGAATCTGGAATCTGGTCTAAAGGGACAGGAATCAGGAATCTGGTCTAAAGGGACAGGAATCTGGAATCTGGTCTAAAGGGACAGGAATCTGGTCAAAAGGGACAGGAATCTGGAATCTGGTCTAAAGGGACAGGAATCAGGAATCTGGTCTAAAGGGACAGGAATCTGGAATCTGGTCTAAAGGGACAGGAATCTGGAATCTGGTCTAAAGGGACAGGAATCAGGAATCTGGTCTAAAGGGACAGGAATCAGGAATCTGGTCTAAAGGGACAGGTATCAGGAATCTGGTCAAAAGGGACAGGAATCTGGTCTAAAGGGACAGGAATCAGGAATCTGGTCTAAAGGGACAGGAATCAGGAATCTGGTCTAAAGGGACAGGAATCAGGAATCTGGTCTAAAGGGACAGGAATCTGGAATCTGGTCTAAAGGGACAGGAATCAGGAATCTGGTCTAAAGGGACAGGAATCAGGAATCTGGTCTAAAGGGACAGGAATCTGGAATCTGGTCTAAAGGGACAGGAATCAGGAATCTGGTCTAAAGGGACAGGAATCAGGAATCTGGTCTAAAGGGACAGGAATCAGGAATCTGGTCTAAAGGGACAGGAATCAGGAATCTGGTCTAAAGGGACAGGAATCTGGAATCTGGTCTAAAGGGACAGGAATCAGGAATCTGGTCTAAAGGGACAGGAATCAGGAATCTGGTCTAAAGGGACAGGTATCAGGAATCTGGTCAAAAGGGACAGGAATCTGGTCTAAAGGGACAGGAATCAGGAATCTGGTCTAAAGGGACAGGAATCAGGAATCTGGTCTAAAGGGACAGGAATCAGGAATCTGGTCTAAAGGGACAGGAATCAGGAATATGGTCAAAAGGGACAGGAATCTGGTCTAAAGGGACAGGAATCTGGTCTAAAGGGACAGGAATCTGGTCTAAAGGGACAGGAATCAGGAATCTGGTCTAAAGGGACAGGAATCAGGAATCTGGTCTAAAGGGACAGGAATCTGGTCTAAAGGGACAGGAATCAGGAATCTGGTCTAAAGGGACAGGAATCTGGACGATAATCATTGAAAATGTGTGATGGTGTATCTTCTGTAAAATCTGGTGAAAGTGAGAGGAGTCTGCTCTCACTTTGGAGAGTTTTCCTGAGCGAGCAGCAGCTGGAGGTGTGTGTGTGTGTGTGTGTGTGTGTGTGTGTGTGTGTGTGTGTGTGTGTGTGGGTACAAAGAGAGAGTATTGTGCAGTGTGTATGGTGTTATTGACACATTCTTGTGTATGTGTGTTTATATGTGTTCTGCTGGAGCCTGCAGACTGATTTAGTGCCGCTAGGCAGACAGAGGTGTGTGTGTGTGTGTGTGTGTGTGTGTGTGTGTGTGTGTGTGAGTGTGTGTGTGTGTGTGTGTGTGTGTGTGTGTGTGTGTGTGTGTGTGTGTGTACTCGGTCCTGCATGAGGCTGCATTAATGTGTGGTTTGCATTTTAACTTCTTTATATTTCCTGAGTTCCCAAGAAAAAACGTTTAAAATTGAGAAAATTAGTTTTTTAAATGTGTCAAGCGTAACAGTGCCAGATTTAGCTTTGAGCTCATTTCCATCCGCAGTCCCTCACATAAAAACATTTAAGAAAATTACATTTTACAAACATTGCAAAAACAAAATACATGATATGCAAAAAGTGCAAGAGAGCAAGAGCAGCATACACAAGTATTCATGACATGGCAGCACGATGTAGCAGCTAGGACATGTGAGAGGAGAGGAGATACCCCTGGGTTAAAGTGCATTTAGCGGTGATTGCACGTCTGTTTGTGTACGTGTCTGTGTGTGTGTGTGTGTGTGTGTGCTCACCGAGCTCGAACATCTGCAGGGGGAGGTGCAGGAACCCTGAGAGGGGGGTGTAGGCGTTGGACTGTCCGGGGGCGGAGCAGACGTCGTCGGCGGCCGGCAGGAGGAGCAGGAAGGAGACGCCGTGACCGAGCTCCACCACCTCCTGGGAGTAGAGGCGCAGGAGGCGGGACTGTATATAATACAATGTTGTATAATTATTGAACTTATATCAATTCTGAGAAAAAAGTGAAAATCTGAAAAAAAGAGTGACATTTTAGAATCAGAGAAATAAAAATGTTGTATACAAAATAATTGTGAAAAGTGAAAAAAAGTGAAATTCTTGGAAAAAACTGGTGTGTGTTCAGGTGTGTGTTCAGGTGTGTGTTCAGGTGTGTGTGCCTGGTGCAGAGGTAGGTTCAGGAGTGTGTGTACAGGTGTGTGTGTGTGTACAGGTTTGTGTGTGTGTGTGTGGGTGTGTGTGTGTGTGTACCTGGTGCAGAGGTAGTTTCAAGTGTATGTTCAGGTGTGTGTGTGTGTGTGTGTGTGTGTGTACCTGGTGAAGAGGTAGGTTCAGGTGCTTCAGCAGAGCCTTGATGGAGGTCTGCAGCTCATAGTATAGTAAGGGGGCGTGGCTCTCCAGTTGTTGCTCCGCCTCCTCGCTCCTCTCACCTGCAGCCGCCAGTGCCTGGATCCACTCCCACTCATCCCTGACACACACACACACACACACACACACACACACACACACACACACACACACACACACACACACATTTAATAATTATATAATGTCCTCATAATTGGCTCATCATTAAAGTGTGTATCTCTGTAATCGTGAGGTGTGCTGCTTTTCTCCGTTTCATATTAAAGTGAATCATTAAGACACTTAAACACACCACCTTGGACATCCATGTAAAACACACACTCACATATCCAAACTCTCTGTCTGTCAGGTGTGTGTGTGTGTGTGTGTGTGTGTGTGTGTGTGTGTGTGTGTGTGTGTGTGTGTGTGTGTGTGTGTGTGTGTGTGTGTGTGTGTGTGTGTACCTGGACACGTTGCCGTTGTCTCTGACTCGTGTGTGGCAGAGCATGTTGGGGTGCCTCTGTGACACCAGGACTCTGATCTGGTCCACAGAGCTGCTGAGCTTCAGGAAGCCCAGGTACAGACCTGGGGTCAGACGCAGGGCGCCGCGCCGCTGGTACGCTATGATGTCCTGAAACACACACATTAAAGGTCCCCTATTATCCTGTTTCTCATCAATATATCACAGGTCTCAGATATATCCAGAGCCTGTCTCTGATTGGCTGAAACACCAAACAGATCATTGCAGCATTACCCATAATCCCCATGAAGAAGTGGACTCTAATAATAGGTGACCTTTAATGTATATATGCTTCCTCCTCACCTGGATGGTGATGATGAGGATGTCGAGGGCGTACGGCTCCTCAGGCGTGGACAGACTCTTCCTCTGACTCTGCAGCTTGCTGACGGGCATCCACTTCCCCCCGCCGAGTGTGTGTGTGTGTGTGCTGTCGGCCTCACGCGTCGTCACCAGCAACACGTTGCCGTGGCGATCCTTAATGGGCTCGTAGTGCACCCGGCCCAGGTTGTGTGTCCCCAGGAGGATCTGAAGACAGGAACACCCACACACACAGTTACATCATTATCAAAGTCAACTTGAATGTCAACCTTTCAGTTTGTGTGTACAGAGAGATCGAAATACCGTTTCCCACAATCCAGAATACACAAATACTAATATGTGTATACATATTTGTATATACATATTTGTATCAACAGACACATTTATACATATGCACATTAAGACATAAATAAAAGCACAGCAATAATCAAAATATACAAAATAACAGTCACTTGAATGAATTGTATTTGTTATTATAGTTAAAAAGCTATTCTATCTCCTGTAGTGTTCAATAGGTGTTAATGCATGTCAATGGTCTGCAGAGACTAAAGTACCTGAGTTTCTTTCCACTAATCATTTGACTTTTCATCCAATTTGAATTCTTCCTAGATTTCTAGTTGTTGCTCAGAATATTATTCATTTCTCTCAAAATGTCTATTTATTTTCAAAATGTAACTTTTTTATTAGAATTAATTTTTCTTTTTTTTCAGATTTCGGACTCGTTTTAAAAAATATTTATTTTAATGTTGAATTAAGAAAAACAATTGTCAGAGGGATACAAAATGAAAATAGTAGAAAAAGTCTCATTATTTTCACTGAAGTCTGTTTGTGTGTGTGTGTGTGTGTGTGTGTGTGTGTGTGTGTGTTTGTGTGTGTGTGTGTGTGTGTGTGTGTACCTGCATCTGTCCAGCGGCGGTCAGCATCTTGTGTCTGGCCTGCAGCGTGGAGGAAGAAGACGTGGAGACAGACATGCTCTGCCTCAACCAGCGCACATCCTCCCACATACAGGAGAGCTGCACACACACACACACACACACACACACACACACACACACACACACACACACACACACACACACACACACACACACACACACACACACACATATTTAAAAACATGAGTATATCCAACAGGCTCCTTACAGCTGATAACTCCTGACAGGAAGTGACGGTAAACACATGAGAAATATCCCCTTTAAGTATCTCTGATTGAAAGTAATATTAATAATAATAATAATATAATGAATGAATGTAATGTAAGGTACAGATATTTAAGATTAAAGTTATTAGAATAAAGCAGATGTAACAGAGGGCTCAGTGTATGAGGGTTACCTTGGTGAACCACAGGAAGTCCTTTTACTAATACTTAGTAATACTTAGAGGGTTACCTTGGTGAACCAGAGGAAGTCCTTTTACTAATACTTAGTAATACTTAGAGGGTACCTTGGTGAACCAGAGGAAGTCCTTTTACTAATACTTAGTAATACTTAGAGGGTACCTTGGTGAACCAGAGGAAGTCCTGCATCAGGGAGCTGCTGTAGGAGTCGTCCACCTCCACGATGGGGATCTGATCCTCTGCCGTCACCAGCAGGGAGTCTTTATGATGCAACACCACCGCCAGGTACACCCCCCTGCACAGGTGCATCATGGGAAGTCAGGTGAGGTGAGAGGGGGGTTACATAGAAACCTTTAAATGTTTCAAGTTTCAAGTCTTTCTCATCATGTGCTCAGCAGCTACAGAGTAGACATGGAGATGACAAACTGAAGTCCTCCTCCAACAGAGCAACATGAATATATATAGAACAGATGAAACAGATAAATCAAATAATAGATAGAAACAGTCATTTTTCATAAATCTGACATTTCTCTGAAAATCAAAAAATTCTGACTTTTTCTGAAAATCTCATAACCCTGACTTTTTTTCTCTGAAAATCTAAAAAATCATGAATTTAAAAAAAAAAATAACTTTTTCTGACTTTTTCTCAAAATTCTGACTTTTTCTCAAAATTATTAAAATCTTAATAACATTTTTAAAATCTTAAAATTCTGACTTTTTCTAAACATTTGAAAATTCTCAATGTTTCTCAAAATTCTGAAAATCTTAAAATTCTGACTTTTTTCTGTAAATCCTTAAAATTCTGACTTTTTTTTTTCTGTAAATCCTTAAAATTCTGACTTTTTTCTTTAAATCCTTAAAATTCTGACTTTTTCTTAAAATTCTGACTTTTTTCAGGAAATTCAAGTTTCAAGTCTTCATCACCATGTGCTCAGCATAAATGGAATGATATATTAGATGAATAATCAGCCAGATGCAAACAGATGAATGTTCTGGACGTTCTTCACAGAGTTCAGGAGGTGAACAGATGTTCTGGACGTGGTTCACAGAGTTCAGGAGGTGAACAGATGTTCTGGACCTGGTTCACAGAGTTCAGGAGGTGAACAGATGTTCTGGACGTGGTTCACAGAGTTCAGGAGGTGAACAGATGAATGTTCTGGACGTGGTTCAGAGTTCAGGAGGTGAACAGATGTTCTGGACGTGGTTCACAGAGTTCAGGAGGTGAACAGATGAATGTTCTGGACGTGGTTCTCAGAGTTCAGGAGGTGAACAGATGAATGTTCTGGACGTGGTTCTCAGAGTTCAGGAGGTTAACAGATGAATGTTCTGGACCTGGTTCACAGAGTTCAGGAGGTGAACAGATGAATGTTCTGGATGTGGTTCTCAGAGTTCAGGAGGTGAACAGATGAATGTTCTGGACGTGGTTCAGAGTTCAGGAGGTGAACAGATGAATGTTCTGGACGTGGTTCACAGAGTTCAGGAGGTGAACAGATGAATGTTCTGGACGTGGTTCAGAGTTCAGGAGGTTAACAGATGAATGTTCTGGACCTGGTTCACAGAGTTCAGGAGGTTAGCAGATGAATGTTCTGGACCTGGTTCACAGAGTTCAGGAGGTTAACAGATGAATGTTCTGGACCTGGTTCTCAGAGTTCAGGAGGTGAACAGATGAATGTTCTGGACCTGGTTCACAGAGTTCAGGAGGTTAACAGATGAATGTTCTGGACCTGGTTCACAGAGTTCAGGAGGTGAACAGATGAATGTTCTGGACGTGGTTCACAGAGTTCAGGAGGTTAACAGATGAATGTTCTGGACGTGGTTCAGAGTTCAGGAGGTTAACAGATGAATGTTCTGGACCTGGTTCTCAGAGTTCAGGAGGTGAACAGATGAATGTTCTGGACGTGGTTCACAGAGTTCAGGAGGTTAACAGATGAATGTTCTGGACGTGGTTCAGAGTTCAGGAGGTTAACAGATGAATGTTCAGGACCTGGTTCTCAGAGTTCAGGAGGTTAGCAGATGAATGTTCTGGACGTGGTTCAGAGTTCAGGAGGTGAACAGATGAATGTTCTGGACGTGGTTCTCAGAGTTCAGGAGGTTAACAGATGAATGTTCTGGACGTGGTTCAGAGTTCAGGAGGTGAACAGATGAATGTTCTGGACGTGGTTCAGAGTTCAGGAGGTGAACAGATGTTCTGGACGTGGTTCACAGAGTTCAGGAGGTGAACAGATGAATGTTCTGGACGTGGTTCTCAGAGTTCAGGAGGTTAACAGATGAATGTTCTGGACGTGGTTCAGAGTTCAGGAGGTGAACAGATGAATGTTCTGGACGTGGTTCTCAGAGTTCAGGAGGTTAACAGATGAATGTTCTGGACGTGGTTCAGAGTTCAGGAGGTGAACAGATGAATGTTCTGGACCTGGTTCACAGAGTTCAGGAGGTTAACAGATGAATGTTCTGGACCTGGTTCACAGAGTTCAGGAGGTGAACAGATGAATGTTCTGGACGTGGTTCAGAGTTCAGGAGGTTAACAGATGAATGTTCTGGACCTGGTTCACAGAGTTCAGGAGGTTAACAGATGAATGTTCTGGACCTGGTTCACAGAGTTCAGGAGGTTAGCAGATGAATGTTCTGGACCTGGTTCACAGAGTTCAGGAGGTTAACAGATGAATGTTCTGGACCTGGTTCACAGAGTTCAGGAGGTTAACAGATGAATGTTCTGGACCTGGTTCTCAGAGTTCAGGAGGTGAACAGATGAATGTTCTGGACGTGGTTCACAGAGTTCAGGAGGTTAACAGATGAATGTTCTGGACGTGGTTCAGAGTTCAGGAGGTTAACA